ACCATCACCATGACATTTCAAATTAATTTCAGTTATGCATATATTTAATCACTCTGAGTGTTTTAACTGGTGGTTAAACACACTGGCCAAAGACAATAAAAAGTTTATGTGTTCCAGTGATATAATAATTTTATTTGCCAAAATTAAAACATTTTCTAGTACAATATCATCCTCTGTTCTGTCATCATCATTGACAAACTTTAATAGAAACCAAAATATATTGTTTCTACAGATGTGAATAAAGACATAGAAGACCAGAAATGGTAAAAACATAAGTAAAAAGGGGGATTACTAAAAGCTTCTGAAGATGAATAGTCCAACTTACTTTGAAATTGGATGTTTCATTTAATGTGGCTTGTCCATAGTTCCAGTTGTTTCCATAATTTCCTTCTTTTTTGAAAATTGTCTTTTCACTGCTATTATCATATATGATTTTAACATCCAGATGATACACATGAACACCGTACATGTGATACCTACAGTATATAGATCACAAGAGGTAATTGTTTATTCTATCCTGTTAAATTAAAAACCAAGTGACCCATAAACATAATTATGTATGTAAAGTAGTAAACATCCATAAACATCATTTACAAAGAAGGAATCCCACTTCTTGAAGCTGCTTAGGAACAAGGGAGTGGCAGCTTAGGTTTCTTAACATCCAACTTTGGTGATATGTGTTATTTACATCTTAGGCAAATCAAAATTTATCCACATAGTCCCCAATGGATATTCCCAGCTTCATATGTACTTTAAAACACATGAAGCTTTAGAGTGCAGTCAGTACTGAATGCAATTCTAAAGAGAAGGTGGAATATTCCTATTAATGCACTGAATTTTATTTAGCAATTATATCTCAACTAGCATTGAAATGAAAAGGTCTGGTGAAACACTGAAATTCTCAAGCTCAATAGGCCCATTCATTCTATATTATTATAAGACACTAACATGGGGTCCTTTCACACTATGCAGTTATAGCATTGTGTCCACTATAACTCCTATGGCTGCATCTTGTGAAATTTGTGAAAGTTTCACAAGATGCAAACTTGAAGATTCCATAAAATGGATTCATAACAATTAAGGTTGATGACAATGCTATACTGGTGTAAGGTGAAAAGCCCCATGACCATATCATATGGAATTCTAGTGTTGGTAATTTGGTGAGGTGCAACTCTCTGGCTGAGACTTTTAATCACTTGTTCCTACGCTAGAAACTGAAGGAATACATTGGCTGAAACCATAATAGTAAGAATAGAATCATAGAGCCCAAGATTACAGCTATTTAGCCACTTTCTCTTTCAAGATACAGTATTGCATTCTACCCTCCAGGCCTTTCCTATATCTCCTCCTTCAGTCAGCCAGAATTCAATCAACATGGCACATGCTGGTGCTTTGTGGTGTTTTGGTTTCTTTTTTTTTTCTGGGTTTTTCCTGGTAGTTTTTTTTTTTTTGCATGTGGAAAAATATTGGAATCCTCTCGCATTTGCTGATGTCTCAGTATATTCATAGTACCATCTTGATAATGTGGAAAGTGGATGTACAGTAGTTGGACACGTTTATATGAAATAAAATGGGTGTTGGGATAAGTAAAGTACACAATGGGATAAGTAAAGTACACAATGACCGGCACCTGCAGAATTTAGTTAGCTGTTAGAGGGAAAGGAAGAGAGAATCATATTAATGCTAACTTTAGAATCTGTCACCAGACAAATGTTCTTACACTAGGGCTCTCTTCACATGGGCTGTTTTTCAGCGGTAGTGACAGGCTTTTGACAGTTTTGCCACAGAGCTCAATGGCTCCCATCCCACCCTGGGAAAGTACTTCTGAGATAGTGCCATGGTGAAACTGGCAAAAACTCCTGCCGCCAAAAAATAGTCAGCGGCAAAAGACCGAAGGCATCCTGTCTTTCCTTTGTAATCAACGTCTTGAGCCAGCTTACAGAGGCTTTCCCTCATGTGATGAGGTAGGGGGTAACCAAGACAGTACTGGGTGCAGGTCCACATGCCCACTGGGCAGGCGTTGCCAAAATTGACATGATCTGCGGTGAGATTCAGTGATTCCAGTGAAGCGTGTGAAAAGTCACAGTAGTAAAAGTCACACTAGTAAGTCACACTATTGGTAACAATATACCACAAAAACCATCAATTTGACACATGGGATTTCTCCAAAATATAATTCATTCATTAATTATACCAGAAATTTAGGCAGAATGCATCTGAGCTAGGGATTAATGGTAAACTGAAAAGTCGAACTTTCACTGGTATGCCGCCAAGCAATGTAGGTGTGGAAATATAATGGCCTGCAACAACAACAAAAAAGTAGAAGTATAAATACATAACACATTGCTCTACAATTATCTTCTTGACTTAAATTATGTCAACCCCTTGCCACACTGTAATCCATAGCTAAAGCAACTCTGAAAGATGATAATTGAATCTTTGTTTATAAATCTTTGAAGGAGAGTACATCACTTTCACAGATATGTTGGTCCACTGTCAAATAACTTGCCCTTATAAACTGAGTGGAAATCATGGGATCTTCTCCTTGTCACTAGAGTGTAACTTTCAGCATTGCTCATAATTAGTTATGATGACTGGGGCTGTTGGAATTTCTAGAAGGCTGTGAAATTCTCGCCTTTACTAAAAATACAACTAAGAAGCAAGCCTGGTCCAGGGAGCAGACAGGAAATCTGGATGCAGAGTTTGGGATAAATGATATACTTATTGGGAATTCATACCTGAAACTTCATCAACACTGGGTAAGAGGGAGAGAGAGGTCTCTTTGTAAAAAACCAGGTCAAATAACCTAAAGCTCTACATTTTTAGCATACAGTATTGTTTTGGGCTAAAAAGTACTACTCTATTATAATACCTCTCGATCCATTTTTTTTAGTATGAATCAATATAGAATATTGTGTTGAACAAATCTTAATGCTTACCTGAAATATTGCCAAATGTGTGATCAAAATCAGGACCAGATGTAATGGGAAAAGTGGGACCATTAATTCGTACCCATTCATCATCATCAGCTAAATCCTGAATCCAGTAACAAAAGCCATCTTCAAAAGTACAATTAATTTTCTGGCTATCTTGAAATAAAATGTGAGCAAAATAATGTCACTCTGTGAATAATGAAAGTCAGTTTATTCATTGATTATCATTTTTTAAAAAAAGAATCACAAATGAAGTAATTTTGTGGAAAGTGATCCTCATGCCATAAAATGATATCACCCTGAAGTTAATTTTTGTGGCTATTGGGAAAAACATGACTGTAAGAATCATAATTCATGCATACATGCCCTGTAACAGTCACAGGCTTATTGGGTTTCTCAATTTGCCATGGCATCAGTCTAAATTCAACAAACACATCCTTGGTAAACAAGGAGATTTCAATAGGCATGTATATCTCTTACTTGCAATGCAATGCATGAGGAATTCTGGGAAAAGAGTAATTTTTCCCAAGTCACTAAAAAAAACATGCACACACACACACACCATGTTGTGCTCACATCAATGGCACAGGTAAACATTAATTCAGCTTTATCTGAATCATATGATTTGAGTGCTGTAATAACCATCCTCCCCAATGCAGGCCAATCTGATAGTACTGTAATTAAAGAAAAAAAACTATAGAAAATACTTACTAGTTAGTTCACTGGTATTAAATGCAGTGTAGATTGCATTAAAGCCATTGTAATTTTCAGAATAATCTGTAGCAAATTCTACTGTGGCTTTATTAGAAAATATATAAATTGTACCAGGATTAGAGCCCCAGAGGACAGCTAAGAAAATGGAAAAAAATATCAAAGGAGGATAATGCTATATATGTTCATATGATCAGGAATCAATGCTAAAAAGTAAGAGAAATCTCCTATGCTTATAAAAGAATCAGAATAGAGAGGAATATGCAGGCAGAGCTCTAGCATGCCAGGCCTTTCCATTCCAGCTGCCATTGCTATAGCCTTGGAAGGAGGGAGACATGGCTCCATCATGTCCCAGCAGCAGATGAAAGATTAGGCGGTTTCTGCTAGGCTTAGGATGAATATAAATTGCTGGTAAATCCACTGAACTTACTTGAGTTGATGTCCATACAATCCAGTCTGATTGAGACTACAAAGGAACTGCTGAAGTGATCATCGTCTCATCTTCAATGTTGTTATTGGTTGTGCTGTTTGGTTGTGCATTTAAGTAATCAGATCTAATTTGCCAAATAGTCACTGTTGAATGTTTTTATGTTGAATGTTTTTATATTGTGTAAATGCTATTTTAGATTGTAAGTCGCTCGGAGCACCTTAGTGGAGAGTGACTAATTAAGAAATAAAGTGAAGTGAAGTGAAGTGAAGTTATTGCCACTCCCAACTGGTCACAGACATCCATATAAGTTCCAGGCCATGGCAGGCTCCCTGTTCTGACATCAGCCTTTGCTGATACCCTCACCTTTTTCCTGGTCATTCAGGTGCCTCTACTGATGTCAGAAGGTGGCACCTGAGATGGCCATAGTTTGCCTGGAGCAGTGTGGCCAACTGGGAGTGACAACAACAGCAACATGAGCACAATCCATTCCCCTGCACTGATGAGTGCAAACAAATGATAATGGTAATTGTGTCTCATCTGGACAGTGGACTAGCCCAAACATAATGGATTCTAGCTTTCAACACTGCTCTAAAGTCATAGAAATTTCCAGGAAACTCCAGAGCATCATGTCACGATGAGAGCCAATTGTTAATTTAGGGTGAATCCAGGTTTTCATGCCCATGGAGATTTACCTTCGCTCCCTCCCCTGCTGCCATTTCCTCACATTTCACGATTTATTTAAATTGCAACCACAGGGCAGGAAAGTGTCAAAACAACCCTTTTATAAGCCACTCTGGGAATGATTCTATACATCACAAATTGTGGATTATAACAGGCCACACTATAGTGCAACAGGGGCACTTTGAGCCACATTAGTGGTGAGAAGGTTTCTCAAATGCATCACCATACCAAAGACAGAATCTGTCATCTACCTCAAGATCTATTTATGACTGATCTAACATCTTTTTATGTTTCTTTTACCCATGTTTGAGTTAAGAGTGCTACAGTTAATACATGGTAACATGCAACATTGCATGATTGAGTATTGATACATGTATTTAAGAGTTTTCAATAGATTTAAAATAAAATACATAGGTTTAAAGAAAACAGCAAAAGTACTTTACCTCTTAAAATCTTTGTAAGACCTACACCTTCATAAATACTTAACGTGTCCACATAATTCTGTGTATCAAAAGCACTGAAGTTTAATTTAATAGACAGCTCAGGATTTACCCTTAAAAAAAGAGGACAATATGTTATATCCTTTAATGATATAAGATAATTTTTTACAATAGACATGCACCGAGAAATGTGAGGACAGTTCTACATGTTAATTGGGTTAATTCCAAATACTCACAACCATTTTTAATATGCTTGCCAAAGTTAGTTTGGAAGTACAGCAAAACACATTTTTATGTGACCTGTAATCCTTTCTATATATTATTTTGCTAGCATTTGTATAGATAGAAGAACCATGGAAAATTGCATCTGACAGTAAAAGACCTCAAGCAAAATGCCTGAAAAGTGACTCAGTAAAGTTAATTTAATGTGATGAGATAATTTCACTACAACTAAATTATTTTTCTACATTTATTAAAAAGAATGATGATATTAGATCTTGGTCGAGGGAAGAAACTCCTTCATTAAAAACAGAGCCGATACAAATTGAAAGGCCAAATTAAGACCTGATGTACATTAATCAACAATATCTCTGTTGATTTATTATTCCATGAGAAGATTACAACAGTATACCCAGGTGTTCAATACATTTATGTAATCATGGCAGGGCAGGAAGTATCAGATCAGGAGTAATTGGTTAAATATTTCTAGAAATATCCACACACTCATATGCACTTATTCAAAATTGACAGTTTCTAGAATTAGCTGAATTATATTTATTTCGCTACTCTGAGTATCTGAGTAACTACATGCAAATTTCGATCTTTGTGAATTTTGTTTTAGTGAAAGTTCCATCAAAGTGCACAAACTGAGCCTATGAATCACATTATTTCCTCTTTTCCACTACGGAGGTTATGGCAGAAAACATGGTTCAATTTGAAGTCTTAACAGTTTCTAATCTACAAAAAGCTTCCTATTCGGAGGCAACTATCAGGGTAGGGATTTAAAACGATATTGATATTATGACTTTGATCTGCCCAAACCAGAAGAGGTACTAGCCAGTTAGGAAAGCATGAATAATTATTTGTAGTTCACATTATATTGCACATATACTGGAATGTATAAACAACATTCCTGAGATTTTCATACAGAAAAAAGTTGATTGCAGTTTAGTTATGATCTCGTATGTTATACAGGAAGTGACTTACTGTATAATCCATCGGCAAAAGAGGTTTGAAATATAGGGTTCAGGATAATGAATAGAGTGGAAAGACCCAGAGGAGCCATTCAGAATAAATTTTCCATCACAAGATGTAGCTGTAAATAAATAATAATTAACTTTTGAGTTAATTCCAAGTAAAAAAAGAGAGAATGTTTCAATATTTGATGGAAATGCTGTGTTTTCAAGAAGTGTTCTTTAATAACATATGCTGAAAAGAAAATTGATAGTTTTAGTTTACAGACAAACTGTTTTATTAGCACACAGCATATATTGAGTATTAGTAATGTGATTTTTACTGTATAGCAGTAATCGCATGCTATTTCTGTTGTGTGACTCTTAGGACCTCATCACATTAGTAAAAATCTCTGATGTAGGGCACTTCCTCCACACAGCTGGCACGGAGTCTGCTGGATCTCATCCCATGATGTACAACTACTTCTGGTGGGGCTCCATGCCAGGTGGAAATATGTTTTAGTTATACTAGTTACTTGGAATATATCCTTATGTTGCCTCTTCAAATTATTTGCATTGTTAAGAAAATCACAACATGCTTTTTGGTTCTTTTTAATTTTTAACCAATTCTCTTGCAGTTTCTTAGAGCATTATTTTGAAGAATATTTAAAGCTTGAGATATAGGACAATATCACATGAGAGTACTCTCATTCCCCTATCATGTGGCTGCCTCCTGCAGAATTCTGGAATGTGTAGTTTAAGGAAGCTGAGGGCCTCTATAGCTGATATATATCCCTAGGCAGAATTAGATTCTATTGAACACAGTGTTATCTGGCTAAATATTAGCTCCTCCTGCCTATGGCCATCTTCATTAAAAATGTGTTTTCTGTTAGTTTTAGTAGACACCAGTTTCAGAAACCACAATGAGGATAGGGATATCTTCATACCATTTTGGGGAAAAGCAGGATATAAATAGCATAACATCAGGATGATTTTAATGGGTCAAATCTCAAAAGCTTACTCTTACATGCAGCTAATTCGTACATACTCCAGAAATTATTTTAAATAAATTATAGCTCCAGACATTTGAAAGAAAACAGCTTAATAAAAATAGATGATATTTTAGATGGCTGTTTGCATTTCTGCAAAGGATGTAATTTACTGTCTCTGGCTGAATGGGGTGCTGATAGGATCACTCCATTTCATGGTGATTTTATCTTCATCATTAAAACTCGGAAGTGAAGGTTTGCTGCATCACCTGTTGTCTCCATTTCAGCTGAGAAGTTAATTGATTTCACTGAACTCTGACGGCCTCAGGAAGAAACTATTAGAATTACACCCTTCCTGTGCTATGTCTTTATACCTCAAGGCATATGTTAAAGACATATAATCCAAAGGGATATATAATGTGGAGCAGATGCCACTGGGCACATTTTTTAAATAACAGGAAATGGGATATTTTTATAAAATGACTACAAATCCTACTGTAAAATTTAACAGGAAAGATCCCACACTAATTTTCTTATGATGAATAGAGTATTGCCATTTTAGTAGTAGGTTGTAAGTAAGAAATTTTTTTTCAGAAATAGAAAGATTTGCATGTATTCTAGCATGCCAGACAACTTAGATTTTTGATTCAGTTTCTGCTAACTCCTATAGCTAGTAAGATACCTCGCAGAACTTTATTTTCAACTGTATTATTTAAGAATATATGCCAGCATGTTATACCATGACCAGACACCGACTGTAAAGATCCCTTACCTTGCCAGCCAGGGTGGCAGGGCCCAGGAGGGGACAGGCAAGGTGGTTTTAGTTTGGAGGGCCTGGCAGAGAGCTGCTGGAGCCATCTTAGTTTAGGGAAAAGCTCCAGTTCAGAGAGGGGGAGTGGCCGAGGCCTGTGCCAGCCCAGCAACAGCCAGGATTGGTTTAGAGAAGAGGGGCGGAGTTAGGCAGTTGGAGGGAAAGAGAAGAGTTAGTTTTGACAGTTCAGTTTTAGTACAGTTGAGTTCTGAGTAGAGTAGAGAGCAGTTTTAGTTCTGAGAGAGATTAGAGTAGAAATTGGATTGTTTAGGAGTCTCTGTTTAGAATAGGCAGCTTGCCTGTAGTTTGCACAGCACAGTAGGCTGTGGCAGACTGAGTTACAGCTATTTTAAGAAAAAAAATAGCTGGGTTTTGTGTTTAAGAAACTGTAACTAAGGAAAGAACAATTCTCTCAAGTAACCAATACGCTTATAAGAAACAAGAACACTTTTATCTGTAACCATCAAGCCTCTGAACCTGCATTCACTTGTAAATCTATAACTTGTAATCAATAAACTCTTTCTTGTTATTTTTAAACTTGAAGCCTGTGTCAAGTGCTATTTTTGGTTTTGAGTCCCTTTCCTTATTGAGTCAACCTCTCCTGTTTTCCCCTCAAAGACAGCCCTTGATAATTAACAGTATTTTTAATGGTGGAGTAAWWWARCCTTTTAGTAATTTAAACAGCATTTTATCATTTTAAAATAGCTAGAGGGTTCGTGATTTCTTTAGTTTGGTGGCAGCGAAGGTTTTACAGAACGAGACATCCCCTCAAACACTAGAATAGCCAAAGTGCTGTGGATTCCTTATTGAAGGAAGGACAGTGGTGGGATTCTTTTTTTTTTTTAAAATAATCTTTATTCAGTTTTCCATATAAAAGAAAAGTAAAAAAAAAACAAAAAAGAAACATAAACATGAGCAGTCTGATGGGAGGGATAGGGAAAAAGGTTTAGGGAGGGTAGGGAGGGGTTTRAAAAGCTTGAGAACAGTATAGAGCRAAGTGGTTTCTGAGTATTTACTACGGATGTGTGTATATGTAACTATATTGTGCCTGGTGTTGAAGCAAGAAATTGGGAAGGAATTGTGAGGAAAAAACGTGGGGGGKKGGGGTATGTATATTCTGTTTTGTCGTTGACTTCCCGGTATCTTTAGGAGGTTCTTCCTATTCCTTCGTTCTTTCCCTCTTCTTGCTTTCCCTCTTCGTTTCTTTTCAGCTCTCCCCTTCTTTGTCCTTTCCTTCAACTTCTTTCATATGAGTATTTCCATATTTTTCGCTTCTGCTAGATATGTTGTTACATCTTTCCAGTCTGTTTCAGCTGTTGGGGTGCCCCTTCTTTTAGAAAGTATATATGTTAATTTGTCCATGTTTCTTATATCTAGGATTTTCGTTAGCCATTCCTCTTCTTCTGGCGGGTCTTTTCCTTTCCAGTGTCTTGCATAGACTATTCTAGCTGCTGTCGTCAAAAGGAATAGTATCTTATCTTTATTTTTTTCCAACTTTATATTGTGTATCCCTAATAAAAAGGTTTCAGGTTTCCATGGTATATCCGTCTTCAATATTTTTTGTAATGTTTTTTGTATTTTTCTCCAATAATTTATTGCTTTTGGGCATGTCCACCATAGGTGGTAGTATGTCCCTTCCTGTTTTCCGCATTTCCAACATTTGGTGTTAGTATTTTTGTTGAATTTCCCTAGTCTGTGGGGTGTTATATACCACCTGTAAGCTACCTTAAACCAATTTTCTTTGAGTTCCGTTGCCTTTGAATATCTCAGCTTCTTATTCCAAACTTCTTCCCATTCTTCTTTTTTTATCTCTCTTCCTATATTATCCCTCCACTTCTTCATGTATGTTTTTCCTTTTCCTATATCTCCTTCTTCCTCTAATAGTTTTTTATATATTTTGGAGATTAGTTTGTTTTCTGATTGCATTATTTTATCCCAGAAACTGGGACCTACTTCGAATCCTTTTTCTTTATCTGTCTTAAAATGTTGTTTGATTTGTTCATATTGGTACCATGAGATCTTACTGTTTATGTCTTTTAGTTCTTGTTGGGTTTTAATCTTGAATTCTCCTCTTTCTTTTCTTATTATATCCTTGTAGTTGGGCCAGTCATTCCATCCCAGAATTCTGCTTTGGGAGGCTTCAAGTGGCGACAGCCATAATGGAGTTTTCTTGTAAAATTTGTCTTTGTATCTGTTCCACACCTTAATTAAAGATGAACGTACGAAGTGATTGCCAAAGTTTTTTTCTTTAGATGCTTTGTCATATCCTAGGTAGGCATGCCATCCTGATCTCAGTCCTTCTCCTTCTATGTTTAGAATCTTCTCTTTCTTAAGTTTTGCCCAATCTCTAATCCATATGAGAGCGCATGCGTCGTGGTACAATTTAATATTCGGGGTAGCTAGACCTCCTTTGGTTTTCCCTTCTATCATGTTTTTATAATTTATCCTTGGAGTTTTCTTCTGCCAAATAAATCTCATTATGTCTTTTTTCCAATTATTAATTATTTTTTGGCATCTAATTATAGGCAGATTTTGAAATAAAAATACTAATTTTGGCAAGATTGACATTTTCACTGCTGCTATTCTTCCTAGTAAGGATAATTTCATGTTTCCCCATTTCTCCAGATCTTTTTTTATTTTTTTCCATTTCTCTATATAATTATTTTCCAATAATTGTAAATTTTTTGCCGTAAGTATTATTCCCAAGTATTTTATTTTTTGTGTAATTTGGATATTCCAATCTTTCCCAATTTTTTCCTGCTCCTTCTTTGTAATGTTTTTTGTTATTGCTTTGGTCTTTTCTAAGTTGATCTTAAATCCTGAAATTTCGCCATAGTCTTTAATTGCCTTTAGCCATTTTTCTAGATTATTTTTTGGTTCTTCTATGATTCCAATAATGTCGTCCGCAAACGCTCTTATCTTATAATCATGTCCTTGAATTCGTACTCCTTTAATTTCTTTATCTTCTCTAATTCTATCGAGTAAAATTTCTAATGTCAGGATGAAGATCAACGGGGACATTGGGCAGCCTTGTCTTGTTCCTTTTTGAATATGTAATGTCTCAGTTTGTTGGCCATTTATTATAAGTTTCGCTTCCTGATTACTATATATTGCTTCAATTATATTTCCAAAATAGTGACCCATGTCCATCTCTTTTATTACAATTTTGATAAAATCCCAATTTACGTTATCAAAGGCTTTTTCAGCGTCCAATGCTAGAAACATCACCTTCTTTTGTATGTTATTCCCGTAATGTTCTATAAGGTTAATAATTGTTCTAACATTGTCAGCTTGTGATCTTTTAGGTAAAAAACCTGCTTGTTCTTCTTTAATTCTTTCGCTC